CAGTCTCACAATATTCAGCTACTGGTCTTTGTGCTAGTTTTAATTTTCTACCTCATCATCCTCCCTGGAAATTTCCTCATCATTCTCACCATCAGAACAGACCCTGGCCTCACAGCCCCCCTCTACTTCTTTCTGGGCAACTTGGCATTCCTGGACGCATCCTACTCCTTCATTGTGGCTCCCAGGATGCTGGTGGACTTCCTCTCTGAGAAGAAGGTAATCTCCTACAGGGGCTGCATCACTCAGCTCTTTTTCTTGCACTTCCTTGGAGCAGGGGAAGGGTTACTCCTTGTTGTCATGGCCTTGGACCGCTACATCGCCATCTGCCGTCCTTTACACTATTCAACTGTCATGAACCCCCGAGCCTGCTATGCCTTGCTGTTGGCTCTGTGGCTGGGAGGCTTTGTCCACTCCATCATTCAGGTGGCCCTCATCCTCCGCTTGCCCTTCTGTGGCCCCAACCAGCTGGATAACTTCTTCTGTGATGTGCCTCAGGTCATCAAGCTGGCCTGCACTGACATCTTTGTGGTGGAGCTCCTGATGGTCTTCAACAGTGGCCTGCTCACCCTCCTGTGCTTCCTGGGCCTTCTGGCCTCCTATGCGGTCATCATCTGTCGGGTACATCGGTCATCCTCTGAGGGGAAGAACAAAGCCCTGTCCACTTGTACTACTCATGTCATTATTATACTTATCATGTTTGGACCTGCCATCTTCCTCTATACTCGCCCCTTTAAGACCTTACCAGTGGATAAAGTGGTTTCCTTTTTCCATACAGTGATCATTCCTTTGTGAATCCTGTAATTTATACCTTTCGCAACAGAGTGAAATCTGCCATGAGGAGGTTATTGAGTCAATATGTGGTCTGCTGAATGGATTGTATAATAAATCAAAACAGGAGAAGTTGGCTATACATTATTTATTCATTTAATAAATATAATTTTTTCACTGATTCCCTCCCATTTGTCAGGTATTATTATAGGCAATGAGGGAAGGTTATGAAAAAACTTGATGTGTTTGAAGACTATAAAAGAAACACCAGAGTGGTTGATGTATAAAGGGTGATAGAGGAGTTAAATTTTATGCTGACTATAAGGATCAAATCACAAAGGTCTTTTAGGATAAGATAAGAAGTTTTATTCTATTCTAATTGCAGTAAGAGTTCATCTTAATATTTTAGGCAAAAAAGTCACTCATTCACAATTGTCTTTTCTATGGTTTCCAGGGGTGGGCAAACTTTTTGACTCGAGGGCCACAGTGGGTTCTTAAACTGGACCGGAGGCCTGGAACAAAAGCATGGATGGAGTGTTTGTGTGAACTAATATAAATTCAAAGTAAACATCATTACATAAAAGGGTACGGTCTTTTTTTTTTTTAGTTTTATTCATTTCAAACGGGCCGGATCTGGCCCGCGGGCCATAGTTTGCCCATGGCTGGGTTTAGGACTGAGCAACATTAGATTCTGGGACAGAGATCAATAAAGCTGAAAAAATATCAGTAAAGAAACAAAAATATTATTTTTCATACCTATATATGTTTTTTTTTCTAATAAATATTTTCCCTCCCCCTCTGGCCCAAATTTAGAAGAGGGGGTAAGATAAAAAAGATAATTTGATTTTTAATGGAAAAAAATTTTGACCATTGATTTTTATTAATTTTTTTTAGGAGCTTCAGGGATTATTTACTAGTGGGTTTTTTACAAATACTCCCTGGATGGTTAAAACTTGTCCTTTAATTAATTTCCACTCTGATTATGATAGTGATAGTTAATTAGTACTACAGATTCTATTGGAGATTACATAAATCAAACTAGTTATTTTTAATACAGTGGGTTTAATGCAGGAAATTAGGTATATAGAAATTGTTTTAAGAGGTAGAAAATCACTCTCTATGCTGGGCTCCCAGACATAATTGCCAAAAAATACACATAACTGCCAGTAAAACTAAGCTGCCCAGTGATCTATACCTACAATAGTTAGGAGACTGGGAAAACAAGACGCCACTTTGCTAGCTCCTGACTGAAGAAACATATCACTTAATTGTGGTCTGGGATCAGGAGAATGATATGCTTTTCATGTTATTGCCTCTTTCCAATTAATTTTTTTCTAAATTCAAGTTTTACATGAACACATTTGATATGAACACTAGATACAAAGGTTCATATATTCACAGCTTCTTTGGAAAACTAAACAAGGCAAAAAATAGTGGTAAATATAGGGTTATAGATTTATAATATTTTTTTCTTTTTCTTTATTGATTAAGGTATTACATATGTGTCCTTATCTCCCATTGCCCACCCTTGCCCCACTCATGCCCTCACCCCCCTGGTGTCTGTGTCCATTGGTAGATTTATAATCTTATAAATGAGAAAGTTCAGTGAAGTATAATATAAAAATAGAAAATTAAAAACAGTTACAGTTGACATGTTAAAAAATATATGTGTAGGCCAAGGTAAAAAAATGATAAAATTCTGCCCACCACATATGGATGCGTGGATTAATATCTGCACAATTATAGAGGTTTGAATGGAAATGGAATTGAATGTTCATTTCCTACCACAAGATGGTACAAGGAGGCATCCATACATAAAAATTAAAATTAAAAACCCCATTAACTATGAAAAAATAAATGATAAGAAGTTAATTCACTTAATGCTTTATAAGTGAATATGAAGTAGATACATGCTCAGAAGGAAATATGGGCAATCAAAACTAATAATGAATTAATGAAGGAAAAATGGAAAGGTTTATAAATATAAAAATAAAAACAATTTTATTCTCAAAAACCAACCATGAGAATAAAGATCACTGATTCTAGTAAGTTTGTAGAAGAATGTTGCTCATGTATTAGCAACAATAAGAAAAGTACAAAATTGTCCTAGTTGGTTTGACTCAGTGGATAGAGCATCAGCCTGTGGACTGAAGGGTCCCAGGTTCGATCCCGGTGAAGGGCACATGCCCCGGTTGCAGGCTTGATCCCCTGTAGGGGGTGTGCAGGAGGCAGACAATCAGTGATTTTCATTATTGATTTTTCTATCTCTCTCTCCCTCTCCCTTCTTCTCTGAATTCAATAAAAATGGTTTTTTTTTTAAAAAAAGAGAAGTACAAAATCAAAATTGTACTTTTCTATAAGACTATCAAAGAGTGAATGAAGCAAGGAAGCCTTATTGTCTTGAGCTCCATAGAGAGACAAGGCCTGTATAGATGAACAGAGATCCATGGCAGCTTCCATATCAGTAGGAAAGTATCTAGTCTGGATATTGGCAGATGGAAAAGTGATCCTGCCATCGATTGAGATATTTTTTTAGGAATGAGAAAAAACAAGCTGAATTTTGATGACACGTGGGATTTAGCCAGATTAGAATCTTAAAAAGTTTCAAACACAAGAATAAATAGCTCACTTATAAATTCCTGCCCCCTGACATCTTTATCAGTGATTTGCTCAGTAAAGGGGCAGTGGAGGAAGAAATGGAAACCAGAGGGAATTTGCACATTCTTAGACATTATTGTAGTGCTTCAATGTTGATGTCTACAGAGTTGAATCCTAAGGGAAACAAAATTATCTAAATTGTGACTGAAATCCCTCCCAGCTGCAAATACTGACAAGATCAAAGATATTAGTTCCTTGGTGGCATTTGGCAGATGTTGGAGATAAAACTAATCTGAGCTAAATTCAACATAATTAAGATGATTCCAAGCCTCAGCTCAACTAGAGTTTGAAGGAATTCTAATGATTAGATTAGCATTTTAATTTCAGGACAGAAGAAGGGTATTTAACTATGTGAAAAACCAAGAAAAATAAAGTAAATATATTTCTTTATCTTCCACTAAATTATTGTGTGAAGAATATAATTTAAAAAATTAGAAGCTATGCCAAGAAAATAAAACAGGGAAGACTATCTCATAATTAATAGAAAAATGTTGTAGACAAAGACTGTCAGTTGAACCATATAACGGAATTATCAGAAAAAGCCTTTTGAAAAGTATTATAAATATATATATAAAATATATAAAGAGATGAGGATTTCAGGAGAGAAGTGCAAACCCTAAATATAAATGAATATGGTATAACTAAAGAGAACAATATTTGAAATCAAAAGAAGTTCCTTAGATTAGTTGAACAACATTTTGGAGACTACAGATAAAATGACTAATGATTTTGAAGATAGGTTTTTAAAAATAACCCAAAGTGAAGGGCAGAGAGAAAAGATTAAAAAACATGAATAGTGTTAATATACTTTGGGGCAATATCAAATAATTAACTAAGAATAGGAAAGAAGGTAACAAAGAGAATAACAATATAACTGCCAAGAATTTCACCAAATTTCATAAAAACATTAACCCAAATATCCATGAAACTGAGGATAATCCAAGCAATATAAATACAAATAAGACCATGATTAAGAAAAAACTTTTAAAAGTAGCCATAAGATAAAAAGACAGTTAAGAGCTATAGCAATAAGAATGGTGGTTGATTTTTTAAATCAGAAACAATGGAAACCATGGCAATGAAATTACATTTTTAAAATTATTAAAAAAAAACAAACTGTCAAGCTAGAATTCTACATCCAGTAAAAACAAAATTTAAAAAATTACATTAAACAATGAATGGGTTACCAATGAAATCAAGGAAGAAATAAAATACTTCCTGGTAAAAAACAAAAATAAACACATGACAACCCTAAATTTATAGAACACAGCAAAAGCAGTCTAAGAGGGAAGTTCAGAGCATTACAAGCCTACTTCAAGAAATAAGAAAAAGCTCTAATAAACTATCGAACGCGACAGTTTATTAAAAAGGATTAGAAAGAGAACAACAAGAAAAGGATTAGAACAACAAGAAAAGCCCAGAATAAATAGAAGGAAGGAAATAATAAAGATCACAGCAGACATAAGTGACATAGAGATAAAAAAAATACAAAAGATCAATGAATACAAGAGCTGGTTAAACGAGCTGGTTGAAAGGATAAACAAGATTGATGAATCTTTAGCCAGACTCATCAAGAAATGAAGGGAGAGGATCCAAATAAATTAAGTCAGAAATGAAAGATGTGAAGAAGCAACTGACAACACAGAAATACATAGGATTGTAAGAAAATATTATGAACTACTATATACCAACAAGCTGAACAACCTGGAAAAAATGGATAAATTTCTAGAAAAAGACAATCTTCCAAAACTCAATCAGGAAGAATCAGAAAACCTGAGTAGGCCAATAAAAACTGATGAAATTGAAACAGTAATTTAAAAACTTCCAGCAAATAAAAGTCCTGGACTGGATGGATTTACAGGAGAATTTTACCAAACATTCAAAGAAGAACTAACACCTATTCTCCTCAAACTATTCCAAAAAATCCAAGAGGAAGGAACACTTCCAAGCTCTTTTTACAATGCCAGCATTATACTAATCTCCAAACCAGATAAAGACATACAAAGACAGTGAATTACAGACCAATATCTCCGATGAACATAGATGCTAAAATCCTCAACAAAATATTAGCAAATTGGATCTGCAATATATTAAAAAGATTATTCATCATGACCAAATGGGATTTATTCCAGGGATACAAGGCTGATACAATTCACAAATCAATAAATGTAATACATCACATAAATAAATTGAAAAACATAAATTACCTGATCATATTAATAGATACAGAAAAGGTATTTGACAAAATCCAACATCCATCCTATATAATAAAAGCCTAATATGCTAAGTGTCCTGTCATCTGGTCCTTCGTTCAACCAATCAAAGTATAATATGCTAATAATATGCTAAGGCTGCTCAACTACTCG